ATCACTATCAAGCGTATGTGAGTTAGAGGGCTCTCAAGAACACCTACACAAGCCACCAAGGCTTAAGGGTGCTCAGCAACCAGCCCAATGCCGAGCTCTACCTCTATTTATAGCCCCCAAGACAAATAGAGCCGTTGGAGCCAAGTAGCACATTTCTGTGTGGTCACCGAACTGCAACGTGCGGGCACCGGACAAGGGGTGGCGGTGCCCAATGGTTGAATTACAATGGCTATTTTAAGCTAGCCGTTAGACAAATCGGCACTGGACAAGGGGTGGCGGTGCACCGCCCTAGGGGTGGCGATGCCCCCGCGGCACCTAAAACGTGTTTTCGCCCCTCTAGAAAAATATGGCAGTGCCAGGCACCGGACAGTCCGGTGACCATGGCGGTGACACTTCAGCTCAAAACCAAAAACCACCACATCAATATTGTAGATCATTTCATTAGCTTTCTAAAAAGTCCTAGATCATCGAAATCGGATTTCGGAGCTAAGAGTTATGCCCAAAATAAGATAGGGTGGTGCTGCTGATTTGGGCACGTTGAAGGGGGTGACGGTGCACCTTGCATGGGGTGCTGGTGCACCACCCTAGGGGTGTCCGGTGCACATCGAAAATGGCGGTGCCACCCCCCAGGCAGGGCTGCGTGTTGGCCACAAGTTTGATTGCGTTTTCCAACCCTCGGACAACCCAAACTTGCTCTTTTCTTCTCCTTTTCTTCTCCAAGTTGATCCAAATCAACTCCAACACCTTCTCCTTTGCAAATGTGCTAACACCATCAAGTGTCCATCATCTTGTGCATGTGTGTTAGCTTTTCACAAACATTTTATCAAAGGATTAGCTCTCTTTTCACCACGCCGCTCGATCCTAGCAACGATGCAAAGTTAGATCACTCGATTAGCACTAGATGACCGATATACAAACAAGTTTGTCCCTCTTGATAGTACGGTCATCTATCCTAAACCCGGTCATAAACTTCTCTACATACTTATGACCGGTGAAATAAAATTCCCTATAGGTTATACATTTGTCTTGCGCATTCCATTCCATCTCCTCCGATGTTGATGCAACACATGCACCAACCTTAATCACAAATGATATGGTCCACTTTATATCGATTTTGACCTCACTTGCTTTTCACCGTTGCCATCATCCATCGGCGCCAAGTCTTGCTCAAGCTTCACCGCCACGAGGTTTATCGCTTCAAAGCCTCCAACTTGCCCTTCACGCTTGCAACCGGTCCATCAAGCCAAGTCATGTCTTGATCTTCTCTACCTTAGTCACATGACTCTATGTCATGTCTCATATGCAATGAGCTCCTTCATCACATATGTGAGCCTTGCAACAAATTCAAGCCATCTTCACCATTATGGCATGAGTTACTCACACAAGCGTACATGTGGACTAATCACCTGTGTATCTCACATTTAAACACATTAGTCCACCTAGGTTATCACTCAATTACCAAAACCAAACTAGAGACCTTTCAATCTTTCCTTTTTTGATAATTGATGACAACTATGTGGGGTTGATCCCTGTCTGTTTGTTTCGTCCATTCATTTCATCAATCATGATTCACATGTGTGTACCGATAAAAATAAATTTCACATGTGTTTTAATTTTTAATAAATTTCAGTAGGGGCTTACACCCCTTCTATTTCCTCAAAAAAAATGATGCACTACATGTCTACAAAATTCACTGTTAGATCCATGCATGTCGTCGATGCACAGTTGAGTGATCGGTCTAAGTCTCCGCACGACGAGAACAATGAAAACATACCACACGTAGTACTTACTACTCCCTCCATGTTTCGAGGAAGATCATTTCGAGGTTATGTTAAGTTAAATATTTTAAACTCTGACTACAAATAATTTTTTAGGTTGATTTTGAAAATATAAAAGTGATGTAAGTAGATTCATCTCGAAATATAATTTTATAAAAGTCGTTGACTATATTCTATAAATATTTTATAGAAAAAAAACGTCGATATCCAAAACGCATCGAGGGAGCAGTAAACAAGACGTGCATGTATGCGCGCGCGTAGCCGGCCGGCTTGTTTGTAGCAGTGGTCACCAGCGTGCCGCGCGCGCATGTTGTCATCTAGCACATCGGTAGGGCATCTCGATCTGGACATGGTACGCAAAGCATAGCCCGTGCCCGGTGCACAGTGGATACCAGATGGTAACCTGTCCTGTGCCCTCCCCAGCTTCTCGGACTGCGGACGCAGAGTGAGTGTGCTGCTTGATACAGGCGCGCGGCGCGCGTCTTTATGCCTTATTGTATATATACGTCCATCCACTTCAATTCTTATGTATTAGAGTAAAATAAAATAAAATTTAGTTTAATTTTACTCTAATTTATTTCAACATATGTGGATCAAGACAAATACATGCCCAAAAATTGCTTGCCCACTTTCCAGTGCGTGGACACTGTACAGATGATCCTGCCACACCGGTTCCCCGTACGTACGTACTTACAATAGTGACGCGTGCTTGGTCCGTCCGGGGCTCCAGCCACCAGGCCAGCCAGGCGTTTCACGCGAAAAGTAGGGACTGAGGCTGTCTTCGAAGGCGATTCATTGTGAAAGCCAAGGAGACTATCTATATAAAAGACATATTTTAGGTGTAAGAAGAAACATAATTTAAATATAAGTATCATCTCTCCTAAAAATCCATTTGTAGAAAGAGTTATCTTTTAAATCTTGTTATTAGAGAAGACAAAAATAAATATTAAACCTTTTGTCTATAGTGCTATTTAAAGAATGAATAGATGTTATATTTTAGGTCGTCGGAGACAGTCTGATCATGCATCGTCGGCATGCACCACACGCGATCCGACTGTTACTGGAAAGCTGCCATGGCAAAAACCATCACAACCAAAGTCATGGTACGGTATCCATGTGCCAAGCATGCCCGGGCCGGCCTCGACTTTCGTGGGCGCGCCTCGCTGCTGGTACGTACGTGTCATGGTACGGTATCCATGTGCGTATGTATATACTGATGCGTCCCTGTCCATGTATACGTCATACGTAAAGACGACTTGCATTGCTAGCTACGGCCTACGGGTACGGGGTACGTTCCTGGCTATGGGCACGCAACCACACCAAGCGAGGGGACGACCGGCCGGCCGAGCGCGCACTGCCGGCCTCTCGTCGTAATCAAGGTAGAAAACGTACGCACGTACGTACGTATCACGGTTGAAATGAATGCCCGCTAGTAGGGGTACGTAGATAGGTGGTGTCTGTGATTTGCTGATTTCCGAGTCGAGGCTTGGGTCTTGAGGTGGCCGGCAGGTCTCACATGTACTGCATCTAACCGTTGCCATGTCCGCGCGTCGTACTGACTCCTAGAGATCGTACTATCACGTACAGCACTCCCAATTTTTACTGCCGCTCGCGCGCTCTGAATCTCTGTGCTTCGACAAGGGAAAAGAATGGCACAGCCATCAGCCATATAATCACTACTCTAGATACATACTCCCTCCGTCCCATTGAGTTTGTCGTTGGAAAACCGTGCCCCCCTCACAATCCCGCTTCCCGAGCGACAATCTTAACGGGACGGAGGGAGTAGATCATATCGCTGCCAGATCCAAACCAAGCATCAGTATCGAAATCAGACCTATGTTAGGGTAATCAGAAGTGATGGGTTATTGGACTTATCTATCACCATTGGTTCTCAGACCCCGGCAGTAATAGAAAGATATCACTGATAGGTCAAAGCTAGCTAGACCCTACAGTCATACGATAAGTTTTTGTTTATATATTTTATTACTATATTTTATATAGATGTTACTCTCTAATATAATATTTTATATTTGAGAGGGTTAGGGCCGGAGCGTCTATTTTATAAGCGTTGTGTAACGGGAGGAGGGGGTGCAACCTGGGTTTAGTTATTTGACTCCAATCAAGTCGTACGTGGGGCATCCCCCTATTGAGATCAACCCAACAGCGATGACCTATCTGAGTTAGGACGGCACGTCGGCACCTACTCGACATTGCTTGCTTGTGGAACCTGCTCCTCAACTCCACCCGCACTAGCTCCATGCCACCGTGCGCTTCGCTCCTTGTTCCCTTGTTGCCATCCCAGTCACTCCCCGCTGGCATCCTCTCCAACCTCGCTGCAACCAGCGTCTCCACAGGGTGGAGGAGAGGGTTCGGCTCGCCCGAGAGAAGACCATGAGTCTCCGTGCGCTAGATCGAGAGTATCGACAATTGAGTAAGACGTGTATACTTGCCCGCGTATGGTTTAGAAGACATGGAGGTTTGGAGATGAGATAGTCGTGGCCATGGTTCTACATAAGGATTGAAGGATGGGTGCAAGGGTAGAAAGAGCAATTCATAGGACGTTTTAATACTGCCATAGTCTGTTTGGGACTTTGGGCCAAACTAAAAAGTAAAGACAATGGTATGGAAGGTGTCTAAATTTAAGAATCAATGACAGCGAAGAAAAACCATAATTTTAGATGACATATAAAGGATGGTTATAGTAGGCTTTTATTAGGTCTAGAGTGTAGTAGTTTTGATAGAGCGGAGGAGTCCTGCACAGCCTAAACTATGGAGGAGTGTTATAATAAAGAACATATATAGGAGTAGAAAAGAAAAAGGCAAGGCATCCGCAATTCCGCACTGTCTCGCTACCAGTCCAATGCAGCATCCAACCCATGGCATCATTTGTTGTTTGCTTGCCCAGGAAAAAGTCTGTTTGTCTGCTACTCTGCTCTCCGTGATAGTCCACCCCATCTCGTCGAAAGCAACCGTAACCAACAGCCTTGGTTGCCTCTTCAAGTCTTGACCCAAGTACCCAACACAAGGCAACGCCCACATTTCCTTCGGTTCACGCCGTGCTGCCACCCCCCACGCAGAGGCAGAGCCACCGCTTCCATTACATGATCTCACGTCCGTCCGCGCGCGGTGTGGTCGCACTACTACGGCACCGCCCAACGGCCATACTTGCCTCCTCCTCTTTCCTCCTGCGGTCGTGCCGTCCTCTCGTCTAGGTCTCTTCTCATGGCCGTGCACGCGCAGTACCTGTCCCGTGCCTCCCCCCATGACCACCGCGCCATCAGGTTCGTCTCCCGATCCCCTTTCAGCTCTCCTATTTATTCATCCTCAATGAAACCGCCACAGCGTCTTCTTGATTCCATTCATCACCCGTGCGCCGTGTTCCATAATCCACAGGCCGGCGCTGGATAACGCAACGAGCGCGTCAGCGTTCCGCGGCGAGCCCGGCGGCGGCGGCCACCCGCTTGCCGCCGCGGTGGGGGGCGGTAACACAGTGCTCAGCGACCTCACCTGCAACAACAACAGCAGCAACGACAACAACGGTTGCTTCTTGCCCAGGAAGCGCGCGCGGGTTGGCGACGTGGCCGGCGCCGGCGTGGGCTTGATCATGGACCTGCAAGGCCAACGCGCTCTGCTGCCGCCAGTGCCGGCGCAGGTACCGGTGCTGCTGCCCGCGGGAGACGTGCAGAGCAGGCTGCTCTGCTCTGCCGCCGCGTCCACCAGTGGGCGCCCGCCCAGCAGCGTTGCGCCGGTGTCGCAGGGCCTCCTGTCGCTCCTCTACCGCCACGGCGTCGAGATTGACGCGCTCGTCCGCATCGAGGTTCGTTGATTTTCATTTTTTTTTCTCCCCCAGAAGAATTAATGTGCTACTACTCTGCTCCTTTTGGTCGTGTCGCGAATGGCGTCTCATTTGAACCTCGGCATGCAGAACGAGAGGCTGCGAGCGGGGCTTCAGGAGGCGCGGCGCCGGCACGTCCGAACGGTGGTGTCGGCGGTGGAGCGCGCGGCGGCGCGGCGCCTGCGGGCGGCCGAGGCCGAACTGGAGCGCGCCCTGGTGCGCAATGCGGAGCTCGACGCGAGGCTCCGGCAGACCGAAGCCGAGGGGCAGGCGTGGCAGGACATCGCCAGGTGCCACGAGGGCGTCGCGGCGGGCCTACGCGCCACGCTCGACAACCTCATGCAGACGCAGTCGCCATACGCCGGCGCAGGGGCTGGCGAGGGCGACGCCGAGGACGCGCAGTCGTGCTGCTTCGAGTTGGGACAGGAGCAGGGCGAGGGCGCCGAGGCGTCCGGCGGCGGGCGGACGAGGGCGTGCAGGTGGTGCGGCGCGGCGGAGGCGTGCGTGCTGCTGCTGCCGTGCCGGCACCTGTGCCTGTGCCGCGGGTGCGAGGCGGGCGTCCAGGCGTGCCCCGTGTGCGCGGCCACCAAGAACGCCTCGCTCCACGTCCTCCTGCACTGACCTGAGTACCTGACCACGCGCGGCGTGGCAACCCCAAGAGTCCTCAGAAAACCTTTTGCTCGGCGACAAGCCATGGAGGAAAACTTGCAACAACAACGAGGAGGAAATTGCATTGCTCGAGGGAAGGGAACTGATCTGACCAGAGCACGCCGCGCAACCTGAAAGAAGGCCATTAGAGATGGATGACGTAGGCACAAGGAAGAAATCAAAGAATGGGTTGTCTCGAGTTGCTTGCTGGTCATCGCCTCGATCAAGCGGACGTCAACACTACTGCTGCTACGGGAAACGACGCAGTCAGCTGCAAGTAGGTGAAGCAAGCCTTCATAAAATGGCGAGACCTTGTGTACGTGACACTTGAACGTGGCATGTACGACTTCTCTAGGAAATTTGGTAGGAGTACAGTCAGTGTTTCCAACCCTCAGCTTGTTCAGATACTATCTTCTTCGGAGCAAAGCGAGATGATATTCTATATAAATAGTTTCGCATTTCAAATTCTCTGTGATCGGTTTCAGAGTTTATGGTTGTTGTCAATGAGCTCACAAAACAAGCTTATTTATAGTAGCTTAGCTTGCATTGGGTGCCAAGACTGCAGGCAGTAACTGAAAGGATATACTCTCTCTGTCCCAGAAATAACGTCGTGGTAGTGTTTGAAATCTGTCCCTAAAATAATGTCGTTTTAGCGTAGGTCCACCTGACATTCCTTTCTCTGCCTCACCCCATCCCCTCCGTCGTCGTGCTCTCCCTCCCTCCCTCATCTTTTCCTCCACTCTCTTCCTCTCCACCGGCAACCCATTCCTCTTATCCTCTGCCGGCGGCAGGACGGTGCCGACGTGGAGGTGACACTGCTTGCGACAGAGACCCGGCCCCTCCCTCCCTCTGCTCCTCCCACGCCCGCCAGGTCTCTCCCTTTCCCTCGCCGTTGGAGAGGAGGCCGGGACGGAGGGGGCGCGGAATCGATGGATCCGGCCGCGACGGAGCAGCGGCGGACGACCGGGTGGGTGTGTTGCCTCCCTGGCGGCATGCGATGCAAGCAGACCGGTGGCGCGGGTTGTGGCCTCCCTGACGACGCTCGACGCTGAACGGAGCAGCGGCAAAGCGAGCGCAAGCGCGGGTTGCGGCCTCCCTTGCGGCGGTCGATGCAGAATGGAGCGGCGGCGAAGTAAGTGCGGGCTCGCCTCGGCGAGCGCCAGGGGCCTTGTTCGACTGGCTAGTGGCCGGCTGGCTGGCTGGTCAGCCCACCCACGGAATCACTGTTCACGTGAACAGTGTTTTTAGGAAGAACAATATTTTTCTCTCACAACAATCAGCCGGAACAGTATTTTTACTTATTTTTTAGTCTTGCCGAACAGGCCCAGCGACCGAGCGGATCTGGATGTGAACGGCAAGAGGAGCGAGAAACTTTAGGGTATCACCCTGTTCGTTTGGCTTATAAGCCATACTTTTTCAGCCAACGAACAGTATTTTTCTCTCACAACAAATCAGTCATGTCTTATCAGCAAAGTGAACATGATATATATTGGTCTTTTACCTTGCTCCTTGGTTACCGTGCCTATTACTAAAACTACTCTAATTTTGGGACGGATGGAGTATATACCTGCTGGCCACGCCGTGCTGCGACGACCTTGTATCGTTCCAACGTGCATCTGCTCTTGAAAAATTAGACAGATGGCTGCTTGGTTTCGGTTCAACGTGCCATCTGCTATCGATACTAGCGAGCGTTGCATACTTGCATGTGACCTACCGATTGCTGTTGCAACCTGTTACTTGGATTGTAGGGCGGTCAATGAAGCCTAGTAGTAGCAAAGTTTGCAGTGCACGTTATGTGAAGTGGCACGCACTCAAGTCTGCCGTGAGCGGAGCAGGTCAACCGACCGTCGGTGCTGGGCTGCTGGCTTCTCGTCTCCTATCCCGCAGCAGCAGTGGGTGTGGTTGATGACTTGATGTGCCCGTCCAAAGAAAACCATGGCCAGCCCGAATGGAGCGAAACGGGGAACCTAACATGTGCAGGCCGGCCTTACATGAACGTCTCGGAGGTTCCGGTCCAGGGAGCAATCGTAGAATAAGTTCCGGATCCGTCAGCGTCGGATGATGTGAACCAAACCAAGACACAGTGTCAGCTTCAGTGGGTGATGGATCACACAGCTTAACCAAGGCCTTGATTAGTTAGCGAATTTTTTTTGAGAAATGGTACTGTAGCACTTTCGTTGTTATTTGGCAATTAGTGTCCAATCATAGTCTAATTAGGCTTAAAAGATTCGTCTCGTGAATTTCGTCTAAACTGTGTAATTAGTTTTATTTTTTATTTATATTTAATGCTTCATGCACGCGTCCAAAGATTCGATGTGACGGAGAATCTTGAAAAATTTTGCAAAATTTTTAGAACCGGCACCAAACCAAGACACAACAGTGTCAGCGTCAGTGCTTGGCTGCTTGCTCCATTCGTCAATTAGCTGATACTAGACGATAACGATACCTCAGGGCTTATCTTAGGTTCATGACTTGATCAATGAGGCCCAGGGGTAGCATCATCGAAGTTTCATGGATGACAATTTCACCGCGTTCAGCTGGTATAGTTCCAGCTTATTTTAGCTTATTCTCTCTTACAAAATGCTATTCAATCAAAAAAAAATCCAAAAAACACTGTTCAGGTGACCCTCCGAACGAGAACATGGCCTAACATTCATATAGCATCTTCTCTCAGGAAAAAAAAAACATTCATATAGCATCCGGCAGCATCCGTACGTGCCAATATGGGATGTTACAAAAATTGCTGTACCCATATATAATGCTGTGTTTGGATTGTAGTGATAGTATATATATCCATCAGAATCCCTGGATCGATGAACTGAGGCCGCGTTTAGTTCGGCCCCTACAAAAATTGCTGTACCCATATATAATGCTGTGTTTGGATTCTGCGCCGTCGGATCGTAGCGTTTTGTTTTTATTTGGTAATAATTGTCCCATCGTTGACTAATTAGACTCAAAACGTTCGTCTCGTAAAGTACAACCAAATTGTGCAATTAGTTTTTGATTTCGTCAACATTTAGTACTCCATACATATACCGTAAGTTTGATGTGACAGGGAATTTTTTTTTTATATAGTGCCAAAATCTGTAAAATGAGGGAACTAAACAAGGCCTGAATGAAATAATAAAAAACCTATGGACATAAGATAATGAGGTGGAGACCAGATATGTCTGAACATGGGTAGCTACCTATAGCTAGTACTTACATTAATAGCCTATATCTGTTCCTTCAGATGAAAACATATACGTAGGCCTGGTTTAAATTGTAAGCTTTTTCACTTTCTCCATCACATTAAATTTTTGGACACATGTATAGAGTATTAAATGTAGATAAAAAAATAACTAATTACACAGTTTGATTGTAAATTACGAGACGAATCTTTTAAGCCTAGTTAGGCTATGATTGGACAATAATTATCAAATACAAACGAAAGTGCTACAATACCAAATACTGATTTCTAACCTCAATCTAAACAAGACCTTAGTAAAACATGGGAAGTAGGATCGATCAGACGAACAGACGATGGAGTTAAGCTAGGGCATTGTTTAGTTGTCAAACTTTGAATGTGCAAAGTTGGAAAAATGTACTGTAGCATTTCGTTTGTATTTGGTAATAAATGTCCAACCGTTGACTAATTAGGCTCAAAATATTCATCTCACAAAGTACAACCAAACTGTGCAATTAGTTTTTAATTTCGTCTACTTTTAGTATTCTATGTATGTACCGTAAGTATGATGTGATAAGAAATTTTCTTTTTACATAGAATGAAAATTGGGAGTTTAGGAGAAACTAAACAAGCGGCTAGAGTCCGTCCACGAGAAGATGACCGAAGACCAAACACTGCGGAGCAGCAGCATATTAGTGGCCGGTGCCGGTGTCGTGAAGGCAGGGCTGGATTACTCCTCGCCTCTGCAGTGTCTGGGCGGCCGATCATATGTGGAGCACTTGATCAGTCAGGTCAAATGAGTACGGCAGCTCCACCACCACCTCGTTTTGTCGTCAGCAAGAGTTTATTATTAGCTAGGCGAGGAGGAGGAGGAGGAGGAGGAGGAGCTGTCCTGTATAATATACGGAGTACTCCGTATGCTTCTCTCTCGATCATCATCAGCAGGAACACGATGTGTCGATGTCCATCTCCCGGTCCCCAAGTCATTAGTGGATGCATGGAGTCCAGAAGTCACGTAACTGCTGCTGTGCCGGCCTTTCCCGTCGATTGAGCACGTTCGTCCAGACAACAACTACTGCCGCTGAGAAAGAAAAGAAGGCGCCAGGCCGGTAGCAACAGTAAAAGCAATTACGACTTATCATCCCTTGTACTCCCTCCGTCCCATTGAGTTTGTCGCTCGGGAAGCGGGATTGTGAGGGGGGCACGGTTTTCAAACGACAAACTCAATGGGACGGAGGGAGTATGTAGTACCTTGTTCATCGCGGTCGATCGTGGCACAATTGGCATCCACATCTGTAGCTAGCTTTGCGCTTTGGCAGCAGCGGGCCACTACGGATGGGACGAGGACAGCACCGATTGATCGATTGCGCTGTTTGGTTCAAGCACAGGTGGATTGATTGATGGATGGATGGTACCGTCTCCAACGCAAATTTTCCAAACGCGAATGAGAGACGAGACGAGGCCACGACCACGAGGGTGGATCAGTGGCACGCACGCTTGCTACCTCGGCTGGAGTACGTTCAAGTTGTTGGACCGTGAGCATGAGGTGACCTGGCCTGGCCCGCGTGTAATGTTGACCGGTGAATTGATCAAGGGACCAGCAGGTCGAGACGCAGCAACAGCTAGCTAGCTCGCTCTCCGTTTTCTGATGGTGATCGATGGGGAACAAAGCAAGGACAGCAGGCAGCGGCAGCAGTGGGCTCCCCAATGGATTTGAGTTGAGCCTGCCAGCAGCTGGCGAGGCCTCGAGTCGATTTATATCGTATTAGGCGGAAATGATGGGCATCTCATCAGATCTTGGGAAAAG